CCGGGACCGGGACAGCCCGAGAGTTCCGGCGGGAGGGCGGCTATCGGCGGGTGCAGCCGCCCAGAGAGAGCGCGGCGATGAACCTCGGGAAGCCGAGGGGCGGCAGCGTGTGCAGGGAGGTGCCGTAGGGATGGATGCGGGGTGCGGAGCAGCCTCCCTCCCGCCCGGCTCTCCGCAGGGAGTCGATAGTGCCGGCTCTGCGCCCTCCGCCGTGTCCCGGTGAGGCGGTGGCGGTCGCGTCCCGTCCCGCTAGTGAGGAGCGAGCGCACCGCCCCGGCTGTCCCGCCCGGCCCCTGGGCGGGATGTGCAGCGGGGAGCGGTACCAAACCCTAAGGTACGCGCAGCTCGCGGTTTGCACTGCTCTGCTTTGCAGTTTTACCGGCGTCCAAAGCTGCTACTCTACCCAGACCGGAATGGCTGCAGTGATACACCTTCCTAATGAGGACGCTGTTGGCAGAAGATTTGGAAACAATATAAGACTGCATCACCAGAGCAGCTGCTCTGGCATGCTATGTTCCCTCAGCATCCTCACGGGAAATTTAAGGTGGTTAATTTTGTTGCTTACACTTATCGCACTCCTGTATACCCTTTTCCCACCAACACTTCCTCACACAATCTGAAATAACTTTTAAGAGACAGTGGTCCTGAATCGTTATGTTTTAAACTAATGATAGGACAGTCTTTGATARGACCCTCCAAAWARAAAAAAAAAAATCCCYATGAATAACATGCAAGGCAAAWCTAAAACAAATTAAAYAAAATAACATGCAAGGGATTTGTGACCCCAGCAGCAGGCAGCAGCTTGGATTCCAGCTCTGTCTGCTGACCTGCAACAGCATGASAGTCTGCAAACTGGGATGTACTGGAGCTGTTTCTCTGTGGTTAGAAACTGTGAAGTTTTGTGATCTCTCAGGATTTTCCGAAGACCTGAAAAAGGTGTGTCTGTGGCCCATGCAATTGCTCAATGCACTGGTGGGAAGGAGTGGGGGGCTCACTCAGCTCCTCTCCAGTCCTACCTCAATCTGATCAGTCCTACCGTGTACAACTCGCTGCWGTAACTGCTCCTGGCTGTTCTTTTACCTTGCCTTTCCTCTCAGAGGAGGTTACATTTTTATCCAGGGTAGTTTTTCCTGATCGTCCTTTAGGAGCAGGTTTATGATGAATCAAAATAAACCACTTCCTAAATGCAATAAATATAGGTTGTGCCAGTTTAATTAAGATAAGTTTAAATGTCTCCTAAAATTAATCCAGTACATTTTTTCATAAAGTAACCAGTAAAAATACTGAAGGTCCAAAGGCATGGTAGTATGGATGAGCAGTAGATGGTGCAGTGCGTGAATGGGGAAGTATAGCAGTGTTTATGAAAAGCAGCATTAAATGTACACAGGAGCTCTATAGATCAAAAATTTGCTTAGCAAATGAGCATTGCTTTTGTGGAGTGCTACAGCTAAATTAAATTTGGATTTTTAACAAATGTTTCCCCTTGGAAGTTTAATTAAAACATAGGAGACACTATGATTCAACTTGCTATTGAACAAATATAAAGAATAATTATTTGGGTTGAGAAAACTATAAATCTATCCAATATTACTTTTCTATGAGACACACACTTTATTGATTTTATCAGAGAGCATTCCACGTGTCCCTCATTTAGTTCCCCTGCTCCTGGACTTCATTTGCATACGACCATCTCCAGAGTTTTCATTAGAGAATGGAAAGTCAGGAGGTGAGGACATACCTAAGAATGTTTATGAACTTGTTGCTGAAACTGGTTTTGGGCTTGAGCTTCTCCATCGGAAAAATACTTTAGTAAAGTACAGAATCTCTGTGAGCTTTTGTATTCATTCTTTTATCATAAAAATATTTTTCAAATATTTTCATGCATGTCATCCTAGAAAACATTTCTGAACATATTTTTTATTCTTTAATTTTTAGGAGTTATGTATGCACAGAATAAAAAAAAAAGTAAATAGAAAAATCAAAGAGACCATTGTGATCATCTCATCTGATCTTTTAGGATACAATCATTTGAGATAGAGAATGGTCCTTAGGAAAGTTAACGTCCAACCAGAGTTTTAAAATTGCCTGTGAAAGAAAATCCACCACAGAAATTGTTGAGGTGCTGTGCTCAGCACGGCTCAGCCCTGTGCCCTGCTTGCAGCCCAGGTTTGCCATGAATAACTCGGTACTCGGTGAAGTCTCTCTGTCCTGTTCAGTTGCACGGGCTGGTAACAGGCCACGGGGACAAGTAACATACMGTCCTCTACAGATGTGAAAATGCTTAGAAAGGAGCACTATCCTGCTTATGTGCCATGGGTTTGTCTCAAATACACACTTTCAGTGCCTTCATATATACAATTTAATCATCTTAAATTTAAATTTAACGTCAAGATAACTAACAACAAATAAGATTTCAAGGTATCTTCTTAAAATGAAGAACTCTTTATCTATGTTGTTGAAACTCACTATACAGTATAAAAATAGTCCTTCAACTGCTCATTKAAGTATGACATAGAAAGTATAAACTCCAAAAAGTGGAGATCATGAAGATGAATAGAGAACAAACAGCTGTTTTAGGAATAGCCTAGGTGTAGGTTGAATAGASCTCTAAAATTCCCCCAGCACTGTCAAGGCCACTGCTACCGCATGTCCCCAAGTGCCACACCCACATGCTTTTCCCTCCGGGGATTGGGAGTCTACCCTGGGCAGCCTGTCTATCCTTCCTATGAAGAATTTTCCCTAATCTAACCTGAACTTCCTCTGGCACAACTTRAGGCCATTTCCTCTTGTCCTGTCCCTGTTCCCTGTGAGAAAAGCCCGAACCCCTCTCTCCCCGCAGATGGCAGTTCCTGTCAGGGAGTTGTGCAGAGCCACAAGGTCCGCCCCCCCCGAGCCTCCTTTGCTCCAGGCTGAGCCCTCTCCAGCTCCCTCCATCAGTCCTATTAAGATTTCTGGTCTAGATCCTTCACCAAACCTGGCTCCGCTGGTTAGAACGTAAAATATGTCTAAATTTAGTTTTGAGTATTTCAGTTGCAAAGGAATTTCTTTTTATATATGGCTTATAGAAATTTTGGAGCTTGTAAAYACTTGTCCAATGATCTAGACAGGACTTGATGGAGAGACTTAGGATTATTTGACATCAGAAAGGTTAGAATTTAAACCTTAAGTGTTTCAAGGGGGTAGTTTTTTATTCCTAGGGAAATATTCAGGGTTTTTATGTTTTGTCTGGTTTAGTTTTTGTTTTGTTTTTGTTATTTATTCTGGCCAGCTTCTCTCTTCCAGGAACTTACAAGTTGTTTCACAAAAGGCTGTGAAACCTGC